CACACTACTCATATATGGGTCGAGTCTGATTCGATCCGAAAATATCTTGGAGCGGTCGATTTTCAGGATTGTCAACTTTCTGGAATGTAAGAACAGCGTATAATGACTATCTATTTTGCTGTTTTCAATATATTAATACTTAAAGGAGTGTGACACCTATGGGCCACCATAGGGACAACAGTTACAACCACGGTTTATTTTAGAAAGCATACTTTGTTTGCAGTTTTGTTTTATATAGCGACCTGCAATGTCCCACTTCGTGTAACAGGAACAGAAGTCCTAGGAATGGAAGTCCAGGGTCCCATTTGATTAGTACAAGTTAAGGTTAGTAGGGGTATTGGGGTTTTAAAATATGTGGGACGAATGTCACCTGTACAAAGTAATGGGAAACGGACCACGGTTCCTAGCGGACTTCCGTTACTGTTCAACCGGTGTTTCCTCCAAAATGGCAAAGGCAATGAACTTCACAGAACATGTTCAATTTGAACCAATCAAATTAACCTTTTTAAAAATAAATATGTATGAAGCGATATACTTAGCCAGATTGATCCACTCCGAGAAATTCTAACATGCAATAACGTTACAGAGAACACCCCACGACGGAGAGTTCGCTTCCCATTCAATTGTACAGATAAGCCTCGTCCTAGATTTTGACCCACTTGGCCCAGGCTAACCCTAACCATTATAACTAAATGGGGCACGGACTTTCTGTTACACGGACAGTCAGCTTCGTTACCTCGGGATTTTAAGTTGTCAATTCCCTTAAATTGGTCTGATCAGCCTCATTCGTGAACATCACAGTTACCGGGAATTGTATTTACAGCAAAACTGAATATATCAATAAAGAAAAATAAATAAATAAAATAAGAAAAATACTCACTGCTATTGCCGTAACATCTGCAAATCTAACACTCAAATAGTAGAAACGACACCGAACTAACATTGTTTTTAACTCATGTCACCAAAATGAGATCTCTCACACTCTGTTTACGCAATGCTTTTTCCTCAACCACGCACAGTTGGGAAACAGTCATAGCATAGTAGTGGATCCCTGTGCTTCTCTAATGCAATCATACTTGAGCTTTTTACCTGGGTTGATTCCGTACATTTTGCTTGGACGTTTACTCTCTAGGACTATGAGCACAAGTACATGCACTTATGTTAATCAAATTCAGGATATTCTCCTGGAAAACTGATTTAGGCTTTTATATGAGATTGTGTGAGTTTAATATGAACTTGTGCGCAATGCAATTGACTTTTTGATTTTGTAAAATGTTCGACAGCTGTTATTGTTTGGAACTATGCATACAACGGGATTTTCAGATCATTATGTTTACTGCACCATGCAACCTTGTAATTTTAAGTTAAGATAAACACACGGAATTGTAGAATAACTGTTTCCCTTTATTGCTGAGACGCATTGTGTTGAAAGACCAGCGAAATGCGTTTTCTTGTTAAACCGCGGCTTAATCTAACCAGCACTAAAATCTAACCCATTTCCGACCGACCATGAACATTTCATCACAAACCCTCCGTCAATTTCAACATAATATTACCAACATATTGAAAGTTTAATGATTATGTTTTGAAAACACATCGTTAGCTGCGTGACAGGGATTATTTAAATGCGGGTGTCAACTTTTGAATGGGATGAATTGTTATCTCTATGAATAAGCAAAAAACAACTTAAAAAAACCCAAACCATATGAAAAAAAGGCAATAATGTTGGCCTTTCCTTTATTCATACATATATATGTGTGCGCGCGCGCGCGTGTGTGTGTGTGTGTGTGTGTGTGTGTGTGTGTGTGTTTTCATCTTCACCTCAAATTTATTTTTCCTATTTCACTGCAGTACGCACACCTAATAAGACTACAAATTCAACTCTCTATCAAAATAAAAAAATCTACAAATGCAGGTATAATGTTAACGATTAAACAGACACACTTTCGCAGCATTTAATCTCCTTTTGGTTCTATATACATGTACATATGCTGCACTGCGTAGGTACTGAACCGCCAAATGCTTGTCTGATAATAAACTCCATAATTATTACACTACCAGCAGTAGTAAGAGACGAGGTTTTGAAGCCCCTTCCAGCGAGGGGGAAAGGAAATGTATAGTGAGCAAAGAAGCGTAAAGGAGGGGGGTTTGAGGAGGTTTTTTATATGGTATTTCTTATGTAATTGTATAGCGAGCAAAGAAGCTTAAAGGAGGGGTTTGTATGGTTATTTTTTTAGCTATTTTTAATTTCAGGGGTTATTGGAAAAAAGTTTTGGATTATTTATTTATTGAAAGGTCAATTTGGAACCCGTTTTTTCTAGAAATGCGCAGAAGAATAGTGAGCTAAGAAGCGTTTTCAGGAGGTTTTTTGTATGGTGTTTCTTATGTAATTGTATAGCGAGCAAAGAAGCGTAAAGGAGGGGTTTGTATGGTTATTTTTAGCTATATTTAATTTCAGGAGTTATTGGAAAAAAGTTTTGGATTATTTATTTATTGAAAGGGCAATTTGGAACCCTTTTTTTCTAGAAATGCGTAGAAGAATGCATTTGGTGAGCCCTCACCCGTCTCTTGTTTGTGAATATACAGCTGAATGCGTTAAGGCTTGCATGAGCTAGAAACCTCTTGAAAATACAATGTACCTTAGCGGTCTGCGCCAACCATGCAGAAAATTGATTTTGTCATTACTGATGTCTCCTAGCTGACCTGTGATATGCTTACAAAGGAAAGTTCTAGAATATTTTTGGGAATCATTGCAATAATTAAGACACAGAGGGAGTTTTAGAATATACTGGAACTTTGAAAAGTTATTTTAATATAAAAATCATAGACACCTAGGTATCTGCACCTCACATACTGGCAATATATCAAAAGTATTTACTGTATGCGCAGTGAACCTGCACCAGCCATGCGGTAAATTGATTTTGCTATCACTGATGTCTCTGAGCTGACCCGTGATATGCCCACAAAGAAAAGCTCTAGAATATGTTGGGAAACATTGCAATAAGACACAGAGAGAGAGTTTTAAATGTACTGGAACTGTGAAAAGTTTTTTTAATATAAAAATCATAGACGCCTAGATATCTGCACTTTACATACAGGTAATATATGAATATTATTGTACGTATGCGCAGTGCACCCAAGCGGTCTGCGCCGGCCATGCAGTAAATTGATTTTGCTATCACTGATGTCTCTGAGCTGACCCGTGATATGCCCACAAAGAAAAGCTCTAGAATATGTTGGGAAACATTGCAATAAGACAGAGAGAGAGAGTTNCAGACCGCTTAGATGCATTGTATTTTCAAGAGGTTTCTAGCTCATGCAAGCCTTAACGCATTCAGCTGTATATTCACAAACACGAGATGGGTGAGGGCGCACCAAACGCATTCTTCTGCGCATTTCTAGAAAAAAGGGTTTCAAATTGCCCTTTCAATAAAATAAATAATCAAAAACTTTTTCCAATAACTCCTGAAATTAAATATAGCTAAAATAACCATACAAACCCCTCCTTTACGTTTCTTTGCTCGCTATACAATTATATTTATTCTTTAAAAAAAAACTCCTATTAGGTTTTATTGAATCATCATTAGAATTTGCTCGTCCCTCGTTTACACTAAAATGATTGTCATTAAAATTCGCTTGCAAAGCCTCCTTTCTGTTTCAGGGGTCACTAAGAAATTACATTGAAAGTACACTCCTCCTCAAAAGGTTCAAGGTTCACTAAAAAAATTACATTAAAAGTATATACCTCCTCCGAAAATGCAGGTTGAAAACCTCGTCTCTTACTACTACCAGCAGTTCAACTGGAAAATGATTCAACAATTGCCAACAGCTTAAATAAAACCATGCTTGTTAGACCTTAATTTAACAGAAATAATACTCTGGTAATTTTCTGATAATCACCACATTCAGTGGGTTTTTAGATCGTAATAGCAATATAGTGTCCTTTAGAGGAGAAAATGGAAAAGTTAAAATTGCAAGGATTCTGGTTATATATAATAGCGCGCACATTGTAAACATAAACCTTCAATATTCCAATCGTGATTAATTTTTGTCGTGACTTACGGTATGACTGATGAAGTAGTAAAAATGTATGTGCATAAATGTAAATGTATGGTGATACTGAAGTTATTGAATCACCTTGGTTTATACGTTACTCGATGATAAAGTGTGAAAGTGAATGGTGTTAGTTTGTATATATATACCAATGTGCAGGAGGGAAAAAAGAGAGCTATAGGCCAGACACGCGTGAACTGTTTACCTTCAAGTAATTTTCAATGTGTTTTAATTATAATAACATGTGCAGCAACTTAATTGTCACGCTCGAATTTATTCACAGAGAGCTCACTATTAATTTTACAGAAAATCCTTCACCCTATGTTGCAGCGTACTGCTCCTGAGTCTCTCCCGTTTCAACGACGTAAATGTTCAGTGTATAATTTCATCGAATAATACTCCCAGCATAAACTCCAATAAGTCTGCCCCAGCTTGTATTTTTATAATTGCCATATCAGCACGATTTTTATTTCAGTGCCAGTAAAGAACAAGCGGGCATATACATATGTAAATGATGCTTATGTGAAGCGGCTGCTCCGCTCGTTCTCTATAGAACTCAAACCTACGCTTATTGACGACCTCGCATTAATGTTAGTTATACAAAAGCAAGTGTGTCGCTAAGTAGCATCAGAAACCCGGGGTGAAAATCACATCGTTGAATACAGTTTTACGAGAGAAGAACGTATTTATGCAGTTATGTAATTAATTCATGAGACGGCGGTTGTGAAATATGGATCTGTCATTTTTATGCTGCTGAAGTATATTCTAAATAGCCGTGATGTGGGACGAAGCAACGAGTCTATATGAATTATGCACGTGTGCGTTTGAATGATTTAAAGTTGAGACACAGCCTTTTCTAGGACTAAACGTGCGTTGATGATCGAATTGCTTAATTTATCTTGGTTGTGTCATTTACCCGCTGAATCCAAAACGGAGCTGCTGCTATTCGAGACGAAGTTGCACAATTGTTATTACGTGTAATTGAGGCGCTCATCAAGAGCGTATTATCAATGGATTAACGAGGAGCTGAAATTAACGTTTTTCTGATCAAACTACAGTCGTATATATACGAATATATATGTAGATTTTGTAGTAACACTCAAGAGACTACGAGAATAGCCAAGCATGAACATGACGGAAAAGCACAGATATGACATGTTTAGCACCAGTAACATTGTAAGTAATGGCGGTATACTACCGATATATATTTCTTCCATTTGTGAATCCAAGATGTCAAAAATAAGTTTTAAATTATTTTTACTATCATTCAGGCCCGTAGCCGGGGGGGGGGGGGGTAGGGGGGGTTCAAAAGCACCCACCCCCTTTTCTACTGGGAAAAGGTCCCCCCTGGATAAAGTTTCATCTCGATACACGAAGGTTTCATGGTAAAAGGTCCACTTTTTCATAAAGAGAAACCCCCTTTTGAAATTGCTGGCTACGGGCCTGATAATTATAGTACTTAAACTTTATTCATACATTTTCCCCTTTCATTTTCCCAACATAATTGAGGTTCATTAAACATGGGGAGGGGGGATAACCCTGCATCTGGAAATGGGGAGGAGGGCGTGCTAAAGGTGTACTGTTTTGGGTACAGCTACATGTACTAGTATATATGCATATTTGAAAAATATATCTGTGCGATGATTAACATAATCATTTCAAGAAAGCCTTGTTAATGTACCCGATTCTACTAAGACTTTTGTCTATATGTGATACAATGTAATGGGAATGTTATACTGCCCTTAATGTAGCTGATGGTATTCCGTTTATCTAATTTTTTTGTTTATTTATTAATTAAGTTACCTATTTGTGTTTGCTTATGTATCGATGCATTAAGTCATATAACGCATACTTTCGATTACCTAGTATTCCAACATTTATTCTGTCAAAAGTTAGAGTGTATCAAAGCGGTTTAATTTTGAATTATGCATGCGTTGACCCAATTTGAGTATACGCATAGTTTACTATTTCTTTCAGCTGAAGTTTCACGTTGGAACCGGTGAAACGTTGTTCTTTGAAAAGTGGCTAGTCAGTCAGGATAAACGTAAGTCTGTCTGTCTTTCTTTCTTTCTTTCTTTCTTTCTTCTTCCTTTCCCTCTTGTCAGTGAACCTTTCTGCATTTAAAGTATGCCTGTATTTCTTTATTTCTTATGGCAGCCTGTAACCGCATTCAGATTCAAACATCATGCCATCTGGGTCGATCCAACTCTGCGGACGATTCTCGCAACAGTGCAATCAGTGGGATCAGCTTAATTGTCTGACACGCCTCCTAAAGCAAGGGGGGATTACCTGCGCGCTCGACTGAATTACCCCCCCCCCCCCAAGCTGCTCGAGGAGCTGCCCTCTCGCCAAGTAAACTTCTGGAACTTTCAATAATATGCACCTCAGTTCACTTAACATTATTATTATTATTATTGATCATAAAATATCATACATATGTGACATTATCAGAGCTTTAATACATTTTTTTGCTTTTGTTTCCTTTATTGTCAAAAAAAAAAAAAAAAAAAACACCATGCATATAAGGGGTGCGCGTTCGTCACTAGCGGTGCACACTTTATAACGGTGTAGTGGTAAGTGGAGAAAGATGCAGTGTTTAGCAATATCATACATATTGTTTCAATGTCATACATATTGTTAAAGCAGATATGTTTGACTTCATCTTTTGCATAAATTGCCTTTCATAGCTGTGATAATCGAGTTAGTTCCCGTTGGCCGTACCATGAAATATTGGCGGAATTCAAACCCTCATATCTCGGAGATTTGAACATTGTTTCACGACATCTAGCTTCTTTTTGCAGGCCAGCCGGATCTAGGTGCTGACTATGACGTCACGCCGTACTGCATTATAAATCTGGTATTTGACAACATGATCCAAATTATGTAGTCGCCTACATTAACACCCATGTAACAAGTCATATACAGGCATGTACAAGACCATCCTGGTGATTACGCCAACGAAATAATTAATGATCTTACCTCGATTGGAATAAGCTATAATGTAATGATAGGAACGCGGCGTCGGTTATGTGAAACTGAGTCAAAATGTCGGTTTTACTAGTGTATCAATGCTAAAATAGCGCACGGTTATTATTATCGAGTATATAATAGCCTTATTTGACAAGTCACTCTTCTCTTTAACACATTAAAAAGATGATTCCTAGGTCAATACCGCGTGTCATCATCGTCATCATCATTATCATCACCAGAATGATCCTCCGTATATCGAAGGTCGTCGGTACACTCCACGGACCATGGACCGCTTGTCAGAGAAAATGAAATGATGACAAGCAATGATGATAAATTTCTACATTTCTATTTTGTGTTTTAAACGTATAGCTTTTGAACAAATATTGAGGTTAGGTTTTTTTTTACCATGCAGCCCAATATTCAAATATTAAGCCATTTTCCCTTTTTTCCTTTAGTCGCGTTCATCCAGACCGGCAATTGACTTAATGATGTCTCATTAGAGTACTACATGTAGTTAGTCGCACTAGCACCACAGCCCAGACTTTTAAATCACAAATTTTGGCATTCATTGACCAACGTCAGTTTTCAACCAAAGACCGATATCTATTTATTTTTCCAGAGTTCTTGGTAACCTGTGTCGCAGTGTTTTTTCTTGCCTTTTTCCATGAAGGCCTCAAAGCGTTGGTTGATTACGTCAAGATGAGCAGAGACCGAGTCTATGACGCCACGCAATCTGCCACTGTGCGACAGACTTCAGAAAAAGACAAAACGGAAAAGACCGGAAACGCTGAAAGCATGGGTCACGAACCGAGGTAAAACGCCTTCGTAGGACGGTAAAATCTCCTATTTCTTAGAAAGTGATATAAGTGACCGATATGTTTCAATATATACATAAAAAATGACAAAAATACGAAAATTATTGAATAGGAATCATCCATAAAAGATGCTGTCGGTGCTTTTTGACGTCATTAGAAACTAGAAACTTTGAAAAACACCAGAACCATTGCGCCAACGCACTCTATAACCTGCCATTATTTCTGATACCTCTGTCCTCCAAACGCCGCAAAATCTCTCCATCCTTTATGCTTATAGTCGTTAGACTGAGCTTTCTCGGATGATTCGCACGGTCATTTGGTAAACTGAGTTATAGTTTCAGTTGACAGTGACTCGGCTTTGTTTTCATTCGGAAAACAAATAAGGGCGCAAATATAAAGGGAAACTATGATACTCTCTGAAACCCAGGGTGGTAAATTCCTTGTTTGTGGAACTACGTTTTAATACAGTATAAGAACAAATAATGAACCAATTTTTCTTTTCTTTTTTTTTTACAGGCCGTTCAGTCGATCATTTTGCGCGTTCCACGTTCTTCATTCCTTCCTGTACATGAGCCAAATGTTCACTGCGTACACTCTAATGATAATCTTCATGACCCTAAACGTCTGGCTTTGCACTTTGGTTTGTCTTGGGGTCGGCTTCGGGATACTGCTGTTCAGATTACCAATCTGTCCGATGCAGTCGCCATCTATTGACAATAAAGGGAACGATGGAAAAGGAACGGATTGAATTTGATCTTGACATGGTTGACTTATAACCATCCTTCATTATCAAAGAAAAAATAAGGATTTGTGATAGAATTACCTAATGGAATATGTGGACAGTATTTATGTATTTTAATATTAAAGTATATCATGTATAACAAAGTCATAATATATTATATTATCTGCACACCTTCCGTACACAATTTGTGGGGTTGCTTTTATTTGACAATAAAAATAAATTTTAAGATTTTTTCGCTTAACCCCCCTCTCTTAATCTATCGGTGGATTAAAAATGAAAAAGAAGAAATAACCGCGGGTTTTATATCATCAAAATACTTGTACAGTATATGTACGTGATATAATGTTGTCAGAGACTAGAGGTGAGTGAATGTCAAAGTAAAGACGATTAATTATCCTGATCGATGTTTGCGAGCTCATGAAATATTTTAAACCGAAAATACCTTAGAATCCGAACAGTTGGTGAATCCTACTCTCATCAACTTTTTAAGTCCCTGTACTTTGGTATAAACCAATTTTTAGATCAGCATTAGATCACCATCATATTGACCTTCGCCATTTTAAATAATTGTATAGTATTTTTCGGCCGGCGTCGAAAAAGTCCTTTCCGTAAAAGTGTCACAGGAAACCGATCTTGTCAAACAGTCGCAATATTCAATTTCAATTTATTAACCCCTTGAGCCCTACGGCTCAACAGAATGTAATACGCCTACAGTGACAATATAAAGATACTGTATATCAACTCAACTACCACTACGACAACAACTTCTACTGTCTGATACAAGTAAGAATAATTATAATAATAATAATTCATTGGACTGACGTTAATCTTCGCAATAAGTGATATAGTGTAGTGTAAACATGGCGGTACTTGGGATGCATCCAATCATGAAATAATGGGCATACGTGCATTCGTCGACGTTTCGCATTATGGCCTACGTGGACTAATAAAGAGCAAGGCTATTTTCAGTTAGAGCAGTTTAGCCCATTTTTAAAGCACTGGTAAGTACGGATATAGCTTATCGGGAAATTCTTTCCTATATATATATATATATATATATATATATATATATATATATATATATATAATCGTAAGCTATAGTACCATCTTTAAAAGGGTTTTGCCCTTCTGTAACTTATAGACGCCGGGACGCATGCTCCATGCAATGTATTAAAACATCGGATTAAATACCCGTACCATTCTAAGAGGCTTCGTTTGGACTAGGGAGGGGAAATGCTTATACTTTATAAAGTTGAGCATACTCGAGGAGATTAACCCACCTCTACCCACACGCACACACACTTACATACACACACTTACGCACATAAACACACATTTACACAGAAAAATAAATGGAGCATATAGGGGCGTTTATATACCCTTCCTTTTAGCAAACCCTGTCATTCAACGAGCACCCTGTAGAACGCCATGTCGCTGCCAGCGGATTTCCAGGCCTTGCACCCTGAGTGTCAAGCTTTCGTGCGAGACCGAATAGACACGCAAATGAGGGGAGATGATGATTGGAATGTCACCAGGAAAGCAAAATCAGAAGCGACTGCCAAGGCGGCAAAAGAGGCCGCTTACAACTTCAAGGGGACGCGGAGAGCGATAACTATTCCGTCACCGCACGTGAAAGGTACATGTACACGTATACGTTTCATGTCCATATATAGCTATTGACATCTGAGGCCTGTTCACGAGTGATCTAGACTTTAGACTTAGGCTAAATTTTTGAACCAAATTTACAGTCTGACCTGACCCAGGACAACCTAAAGGCTGACAAGTAATCCAATTATAAGAAATATCGTTGCGTAATATATAAAAATGAAACATTTCTAGCATCTCAGATAAATATTTTATTTCTTCGGTGTAAAGTTTGTTTGTGAAACCTGGTCGTAGTCGGTCTTATATATACTCGAATACATGTGATGTTATATCCTAACAGGTTGCAGGGGCGGATTGAAGCCGTCTTCTGGGTCTTCCGGAAGACGGTCTGGTTTTCAAGTTTAAATTGACGGGTATTTAATTTTTTTCTGTCGGAAGACGGTCAAAAAATGGATGGATCAACAAAGATTATATGTAAGACTGTCAGAAAATATCTGTGGATCCGCCCCGGGTTGGCAACTAGAGTTTTGGTACATGGGGTTCTTCCCCTGAGAGGTTTGATGCGATTTTATGGTATGCGTTATATATGTTGCCCGAAGTCTAGACGGGTGCAATTCATGACATCGACGCATTTGTCATTGACGTCTCTGGCCTGCTGAAACGGTGACCATTGAGTCGATCACCCAAAGGGCGACAAATGTTCTGCAAAATAAAGACAAAAGCTTTAAAAAACTCTGACTGGCTCTATTTTCTTGTGAAACAGAGGCCACAAAAGTACCAGAAGACTAAGTACTTTAGCTGGATATCCTGGCGCATGCTTAGTCGCACTGGATATTGATATCCCTATAGCTGACTAAAATTTTATTGAATTGTTTTCAATAATTTGAAACATAAGGGTGAGGTGGGCATGGTGCTGCTGCAGACTTCAAATTTGACTTGATAAACGGTTCCTTCTTACTCATGCATATTCTGAGCAGAGGGTTTTGTCATTTGTGTTTCTAATGCACTCAGTTTTTCACTGTGCCAAAACCGTGACATAGTGGAGCCATTAAAACGCACTTATTTGATGCAACAGCTTACGCACGTTTGCGACACCAATATAACGGAGGCTTCGTCGCTAGGCAACCGCATTATATTACCCGTATCTTAGTAATCGGTCATACATTTCGATGTAATTTGTATTCGGGACTCAAAAGACGTTGGAGAAGAGTTAACGACAATGATGAAATTGTCTCTCTAATCGGCAGAAAACGTGATGAACGTGTGGCAGTACTAGCCAAGTAACGACGAAGAAGAGAGCCTTTGTTCCACACGCTCTTCAATAACAAGCCATTTCAGTGAAGTATATACTGGTACATGTACCCCGGTATACCAGTTAGATGAGCTCACTCGGCAAAATTCAATGACAAATTTACCGACGCTGGGGTGTCACTCACACTAGAAAATGACCTAGATGCTCCGGTCACGTCATTAAGAGTCGTACTTAATAAGTAACCAGTGCTTCCAGAGAGGTCTTTATATAAAATAAATAAATAAATAAATAAATAAATAAATAAACGCATTTTCCATTGGATACGGATTCAAAGTTCAGATTAAAACATCACCAGATGTCGTTGTAGAAGACTGCCCTCAAACATTGCACACGATCAAAAGCAACACGTCAACTTGATCTATTAACAGTTTTCACTGTAAACATAACATCAAACGTTCCTATTCGCAATAATTTCAGTGGGCTTTAGAGCATGGGTTTACACCCCCGCCAATTGCCCCAAGAACCCTCCAATCGTGGTGTACTTCCATGGCGGAGGCTGGGTCCTCTGCAGCTTGGAGGATGTGGATACTTTCGTGAAGATGCTGGCTGAGTAAGTCCCTTTTACAGATTGTTATAAAAATCTCACCTGAATATGGTTTTCTGAAGCTGCGTACTGTATAAATCATTGCGCAACACATTAAAAGTCTCTTAGGCAGGAAATGTCTAAGTTATCAAATGAATTTGTTGAGCACTGAAGGCATGAATTGATAGCATTTGCAGACTCTGTGTTCATAAAATATATCCAAATGTTTCCGCTATGCCTTTCATTAAGAAATATGAAAGTGGGTATTACAAATCAATTTAAAAACCATTCAGATAACCGAGTTAGTAATCCAGATAATTATAAATTGATACTACCTACAAAATTACGAACAATCTTACTTTTAACCAAATTCCTAAAGCAAATAGTGTTTGCACGAACCTCATATTTTCAAGTCAGTGATGATTGCGGTCTCTTTTCAACTGAAATGTCAACATTATTTATTTGTGGGCCAAATGCATGCTTTCGTACCTAACGTGTATATCGCATATATGTTGTTGATTCGACCTAGATTGCTACTTGTTTTTTGCCATCTAATTAAATTAATGTTAATATATTATTTGTGTATTTATTTTATTAATCCTAGCACCGCCAAATGCATCATAGTGAGCGTGGATTACCGCCTGGCACCAGAACACAAATTTCCTGCCGCCATTGACGACGCCGAGACTGCCGCCAAATGGGTTCTGGGGAACAAGGAATATGTCGGTAAATAAATAAACAAATAAATAAATAGAAAGATACATGCAGTTACCTGTAGATAAATGCAACCAATACATTAAAAACGGTTATAAAAAACAA